GAGAAAGAAAGAAAGAAAGAAAGAAAGAAAGAAAGAAAGAAAGAAAGAAAGAAAGAAAGAAAGAAAGAAAGAAAGAAAGAAAAAGAAAGAAAGAAAGAAAGAAAGAAAGAAAGAAAGAAAGAAAGAAAGAAAGAAAGAAAGAAAGAAAGAAAGAAAGAAAGGAAAAAAAAAGAAAAAAGGTAATAGAGAATTTATTCTATATTTGTAGTAACTTAAAATAGTTTCTTACAGGGAAAGGATGCTTATTTTTGATATATCATTAGAGACCATAATTATTTTATGTCTTTAGTTTTTAAGATATCCTGTAATCTAGAAAAATAATATTAAAAGTTTTCTTTTAAAGAACTCTAACGTGGTTTCCTAGTGGGGTTTGCAGGGCTTGGGCTTTATAGAATCTGAGCAAGAATAGCGCAGGAGATAATCTCCTGGCCTGGCCTTGGACTGGGTAGGAGGACTCTGGATTCCTTTTCTGCTTTGACCATTGTTTTCCAGTGAGAGTTATTTCATTCTCTACAACTTCAAATATTACATATCTCTGCATAATTTGAAAATACAACTGTGGTTGGGACAGTGCTCTTGTTGCTTGTCTCCTTGTACTACACATATGTTCACTACACTTTTTTCCATCACATGTGTTTGGAACTAAACTCATTACCTGCCCATCTAATTCGTTTCTGTTGGTGACCGTTTTTTGAATACCTAAGTAGCTCATCTGTTTCCACTTTCCCTGCAGCTTAGGAATACTACCACTAGGTGGCCATATTGGGTTATATTTTCTTGCTTTCTGAACCAGAAGCCTGCTTTTGCACATTCAAGATCCAAAATTTAACAAAAATGAGATATAATAGTTATTTATGCCTATTTTATGCCCAAATAAGACCCTAAAATATCAACAACTTTTAAAACTCATCTTCAATAGTAACTGTGTTAAAATTGCTCTGGAAATTTGTTTCCTACTTCTTAAAATTCTTTGGGATTTTAAGTCATTATTGATTTATTTGTCTGGTAAATATTTTCAGTCTTATTGAAAAGATGCTAGTAAAATAAAAGGACTAACTTCTCTATTTGTCACTCCGAACACTTATAACAATACCTATTTTTTTATGTCTTCCAGACAGGAGATATGGACAAGGCCTTTATAAACAGGTTACAGAACACAAAAATTATAATGAAAGCAGTAATATTTATTGAGCTTTCACTACATACTGGGTAGTCTTCTTAGCAAGTTACATGTATTACTCATGTAATCTCTACAATAACTCTATAAGGAAGGGACTTTTTTTTGAAATGAATAAAAGTACTTTTAATAATGCATTCTGAGACAATTAAATCATAATGGGGTTTGAAAATCCATGTAAATAAATAATAATGACTATAGAGTTAAGTGAAAACACATTCATGGATATTTATAGCCTTATATTCTGCCTAAGAGAGGGAAAGAGTAATGGGTTCAACATCAAATTGTTAAATTAGAATTTTTTAAAAAAACAAACAGAATATACCTAAATCACTTAAAGTTTTAAAAAGTGACAGTAAATGAAAGAAAGGACTTTTTAAAATGTGACATTAAATCTGTTTTAAATTATTTTGTGTGGAATAATAGGCATCTTGTAAAGAAAAAAACCACAAAGCACAAACAACTCATAAATGTAAGAGGACTAAAATGACATTTACATCAGCAATTAACATATAAGAGAAAATTAAAAACTGCTATAACACTTTTAGATTTGAAAACTTACTTGAAATGATAAATTTAAACAAAATTCCTAGAAAACTATCACTTTCTAAAATTGGCCCAGGACATCCGTTAAACTTGAATATTTCTGGGAAAAGTTTTTTTTTAATAATTTTTTATTTTTCTATAACAGTTGATATTATATTTGTTTCAGATGTAGGCCCCAGTGATTAGACATGATGTAACTTACTAAGCGGTCATCCCAATAACTCTCACACCCACCTGGCCCCATACATAGTTACTAGAATATTACTGACTATGCTCATGCTTTACATCCTAGTGACCTGTAACAACCAATTTGTGCTTCTCAGGCCCTTCACCTTGTTCACACATCCCCCCAGCACCCCTCCCATCTGGCAACCGTCAAAATGTTCTCTGTATCTATGAGTCTGTTTGTTCTGCTTGCTCATTTCTTTTGTTTTTAGATTCAATTGTCGATAGATGTGTATTTATTGCCATTTTGTTGTTCATATATTTTATCCCTCCCTCTCCTCCCCCCCCTCGTCCCCCTTAACATTTCATGTGATACTGGTTTGGTGGTGGTGAACTCCTTTAGCTTTGTCTTGTCTGGGAAGCTCTTTATATGTCAGGAAGGGACTGTTATCCCATTTTACAGGTGAGGAAACTGAGGCACAGAGAGATTAGATAACGTGATCAAGTCCCACGGTTGTTAGTGGCAAAGCTTCAGAGTCCGTGTTCTTAACCGTCATGACATATGTTGGTGATTAAGAGAGAAAATTTGTGAGGAAATTATCTGCAATGCAACGGACGCATATGAAGAGATAAAAACATGAATGAACAGTTAAGAGACAAGGAGTCACTCCAGAAGGAGAGAATGAGAAGCCTGGGGCAAGAGGCTATGAATCCGAATCCCCAGTTTAACAAAAAGTCCCAGGCGTGACTTAAACAATGAAACCCATATCTGGACACAGCACAGCAGAAGAGCAGAACACCAAGGCAGAGATAAAGATATTAGAAACCAGTGCCTCATAGCCTGGCGCTGTCTTTAATCTTGACCTCTGCCTTCTCCTTAACAACGTAGCACATTCATTAAGAGCAGAGACTCAGGGGCTGAGCCTTTCTTAACTTCGGTGTTCAGCTTCTTCACCCATAAACGGGAGATAATAATAGTAGCTTCCTCATAGTGTTGTTATAGGGAGCAAACGAGTTAACCCATTAAAGTGCTGGCACAGTGCCTGGCACAGCACCTGTTAATGAGTGGGCGCGATGGGCTCCAAGGAGGGGTGGGGGAGGGAGGGAAAAACCCTGAGCTGACGACAGGCAGAGTCGCAGCCACGTCAGGGGTCACAGGTGGGTCTTCATTGGGACTTAATGTGCAAACGAGTATTCATGAACCGCCTTCACCCGAGCGACATTACCATCAATAGCTGCTTCAGATATAAAAATCAGAAGTCTGTGTTATTAAGTGATAAGGGAGCATTCATGAATTATATCATACTGTAGAAGAAACAGGGGCAATATTCCTAGTCATATTTTCCCTGAAAGGGGGTCTTGGGCACAAGGTGCAATACAGTGAATTTTATAACTCTCGTGAGAGAGAAATTTGCGGTCGTGTTGAATTGATTTAATCCAGAAGTCTCTCTCCTCTGGGCTTTCAGAATGACATTCCAAACAAGTTAGAAATGAAACTTCGCCGCGCGACTGTGCTCGAGGACTCGTACAGGAGGATCATGGGCGTCAAGAGGGCAGATTTCCTCAAGGCCCGGCTGTGGATTGAGTTCGACGGTGAAAAGGGATTAGATTACGGAGGCGTCGCCAGAGAATGGTTCTTCCTGATCTCAAAGGAAATGTTTAACCCTTATTATGGGTTGTTTGAATATTCTGCTACGTAAGCACTTTTATAATGAGCGTACACAGAAAAAGAAATCACTGTTTTGAAAGTGACCGAGTTGTATGATGCAAGGAAACCATATGGTACCGTGTGCCAAAAGGAAGAGTATCACTTATGTTTCAAAAATAACTTTTTTAGCCCTGACTGGGGTTGCTTTGTCCCCAGCCCAGGTTGGGGTGCATGTGGGAGGCAGCCAATCGATGTGTCTCTCACACATCAATGTTTCTCTCCCTCCCCCTCCCTTCCACTCTCTCTAACAATCAATGGAAAAAATATCCTCGAGTGAGGATTAACAACAAAAAAATTCTTTTTAGTTGTGGTAAAGTACACTTAACATAAAATTTACCATGTTAACCATTTTAAAGTGAGTGTACAGTTCAGTGGCGTCAGGTACTTGCACGTGGCTGTGCCGCCATCAGCACCATCCGTCTCTAGAACTTCGGCGTCACCCCCAACCGAACCTCTGGGCCCATTAAACACTAACTCCCCCAGTCCCCGGCGCCGCTGTTGTACTTTCTGTCTCTGTGGATTTGTCAGCTTTAGATACCTCATGTAAGTGGAATCATCCAGCATTGTCTTTTTGCGTCTGACTGACTTCATTAGCGCAACGTCCTCAAGGTTCATCCGTCTTGTAGACTGCGTCAGGATTTCCTTCCTTTTAAAGGCTGGATCCTATCCCATCATGTGTATATACCACATTTTGTTTCTCCACTCATCTTTCAGTGAACATTTGGGCGGTTTCTATCATTTGACAGAAATCGCTGTTTTTAAAACTATTAAATCTAATTGTCTAATATGGTTCTTTTTCTTTTCTTTCTTTTTTTTTGTTAATCTTCATCTGAGGATATTTTTTCCCATTGATTTTTAGAGAGAATGGAAGGGAGGGAGGGGGGGAGAGAGAGAGACATCAATGTGAGAGAGACACATCAGTTGGTTGCCTCCACATGTGCCCCAACTGGGACGGGGGATCGAACCGGCAACCCAGATATGTGCCCTTGACGGGGAATTGAACCCACGACCCTTTGGTCCGACGGCTGACATTCTAACCAATGAGCCATACCGGCCAGGGCGATGGTCTAATATGGTTCTAATAGAGGTTAAACAACTCTAAAAAGAGGGAGATAATTTATAATTATTTGTCATATTAAATTTTTTATATGAAACAGAGAGAGGAGCACTTAAATGTTGTTGTCTTTGCAGGGATAATTATACACTACAGATAAATCCAAATTCTGGATTGTGTAATGAAGATCACCTCTCTTACTTCAAGTTTATTGGCCGGGTAGCTGGAATGGCAGTTTATCACGGCAAACTGTTAGATGGTTAGTATTCAGCTTAAAACTTCCTTCTATGTAATTATACTTATCATAGTATAATGTAATCATAATGTGATTATCTGATTTCTTTCACTTGGTAATCATTTTGAAAATATTTGATTTTTTTCGCAAGGTTTTTTCATCCGCCCATTTTACAAGATGATGCTACACAAACCAATAACACTTCATGATATGGAATCAGTGGTATGTCTTTTTCACTTACAATATAGTTTAACAGGCAACTGAATATTTTAAAGAGTTAGCTTTGAATGATGAAGAAATTAATAGGTTACAGTGTTCCAAAATACAAATGAACATTTTCCCCAACATTTTATTATGAAAAATTTATAACATATAATAATATAATTTTACAGTGGACATGTGTGTATCCCCTATCCAGATCCCACAGTTGGCTTTTTATCTATACTTATTTATCACATACCCATCCACCTGTCCACCCCCTATCCATCAATTCATTTTATTTTTGTGATGCATTTCAAAGAAAGTTATAGATATCAATAAACTTCTCCCTAAACACTTCAATATACTAAACAACATTTTAATGCATTTCTCACATCAGTATTTGAATTGTGATCATTTTTGATGAATGGCATATGTTTTCAAAATAGCAGTTCAAAGGCAAGACCTTGAGATTAGGCCACTACAAAGAAACAGAAACATAAGGATTGAATCCCTGACTGTAGCCCATGCTGAATGGCCTCAAACGCTGTGTGTACACATGGACCCCAAGACCTTTCCCTTGGTACCAGGTTCATTTTTTTATCCCCTTTCTGTGGCACAGTATCAGTGTGAACAGTGTAATTCTTTACAAATCCTAAGATTGCACAGTTACTCGAGTTGGTTAATAGAGGTTCTGTATTTGAGGTTTTTCTTTAACTTGGACCAGGTATGAATAACAGCCTCCTCATAGCTACTTAAACAGTTCACACACAGTCTCAGTGGCCACCCGAGAAAGGCACCAGATGCTTCTGGGCATCCACTGAAGTCAGGATTCACCTGAAAACTGCTTTATTGACCTTTAACTGGATAATAAAATTTGCACCTTCACTGCTTCCACACAGAGATAAATTTCTAAACTTTTAAGCAGGCCCCACTCTGTTGATTGATACATTTTTACTCTCACACGTACTAGTCATCCATCTCTTTCTATAATACGTGTGTGTGTGTGGGGGTGTGTGTGTGTGTGTGTGTGTGTGTGTGTGTCTGTGTCTGTGTCTGTGTGTGTGTCTGTGTGTGTGTGTGTGTGTGTGGAAAAGATGTCCAATGACCTTTTCGTCTTTGGTCCAATTCATTCAGACTGTCAGTATACTTTCTTTGCAGGTTCAGGTGTCTTCTGTTTATATGTCTACAAATTTTAAATATGTCATTTCCCTGTCTAGGATAGTGAATATTATAATTCACTGAGATGGATTCTTGAAAATGACCCAACAGAACTGGACCTCAGGTTTGTCATAGATGAAGAACTTTTTGGACAGGTTTGTAAACTTTGATTCATTAAAATGGTACAGGAATTTGGAAACAAATGTTATAACAAGTTTAGGTGTTAAATAATGTATATACTCAAAACATTTCTGTGCTCGATTTTTAAATTTATTTTCCAATAACAAAAGCTGTCCCTCAGCAAGAATTTCTGCTTCCGTTGACACTTGGCTCATTCCATATTTATTTTAGTAAAAGCTAATATTTTAAGTTTTCTTAGCTTTTGAATGGATTTAATTAAAAACCAGGTTTCTGGTATAATTATAATATGTGTATTTAATTTTTTTCACTAAAATAACATATCAAGCTATCATGCTTAATTTCAGACACATCAGCATGAGTTGAAAGTTGGAGGATCAGAAATAGTTGTCACCAATAAGAACAAAAAGGAATATATTTAGTAAGTATTTTGTTAGTAGGTATTTTACTATATTTAGTAAATGCTTTACTGGAAATAATTTTGTACTTCTTTCCAGGGAGGCTTTGTTCTCTCTCTTCCCCAATAGCTGGAGTCTCGATGTTCCCTGTCCCTTTCTCTAACGGTGCCGTTTTACCCACTGAGATTCAATATTTACCTTGGGCTTAGCTAGTTTTTCGTTTGTCTGTTTCTAACAAGAATAAATATACCTTGAGTTTTTTTTTTGGTTCACGTGAAAACAACCAGCTATTTTGTTTTTCAGTCTTGTAATACAGTGGCGATTTGTGAATCGCATCCAGAAGCAAATGGCTGCTTTTAAAGAGGTAATTCTTCTTTTGTTTGTGCTTCTGTAATTTCAAAGTACAATCCTTAAGTTGTAAGTAGTGGAGCTTTATCACGTCAGAGAAAAACTAGTATGTGACTTACTTTTTAAAACCAATGTAATTACGTTTTTATATTAACAAAATATTAAATGAATAGAGGTTCACTGTTAAAACTTAGTCATTCAAGAGGTCCATGCAATTAATAAATAATAATAGAAGAATGAAAAAAAAAAAAAAAGGTCCATGCAGTCAACCTTGAGAGTCCCCCTTCACATCTATCACTGCCTCTTCCCGCTCCCAGTCCCACCCCTTTCACCTTAAGTAACCTTAGTGAACAAAGGAACAACAGTGCGATAGGTAGGGACACTGGAATATACCATTTGTTTCTTTTCCTAAATAGGATCACACTCTACATATTTGTTTGTGACTTGTTTTCTTCTCATCAAATATTTATTGGAGATCTTACAGTGTCAAGATATATAGCTACCCTGCCCTGGTCAGCCAGCTCAGCTAGTTTAGAGCATGGTCCCAGGACACCAAGGCTGCAGGTCCCATCCCTGGTCAGGCAGGGCACATATAAGACTCAACCAATGAGTACATAAACAAATGTACTGTAAGTGGAACAACAAATCGGTTTCTCTCTCCCTCCCTTCCTCTCTCTCTCTAAAAAAAAAAAAAAAAAAAAA